GGAGTAAGTGGATATTCTAAGAAAGATATACATGTGGTTACACTGCTTGAGCAATAAGGTTGAGGTAAAGAGGCATAATGATGAACTCTAGCACAGAGAGCAACACAGAATTATTTCAATTCATTCACTTTAACCACTTTATTTCACATAAAAAACTATTTTACTTTGCTGTCTCCCACTGTTTTTTACTTGCTGAATTCTGAACTACTTTGATTTTATCAAGTAAGTGTTCATACTTGCTAGTTTGTAAAGAGAAGGTAGGGAATAGCTTTTGCAAGCGTTCTCTTAACATGGAGGAAAGCACTACAGACTGTTCTGGGACCAGGTTCTTGGATTATGCTCAAGAAAAGCAGCACAAGGTTTCTCATTTAGTACTATTTGGATTATAGTACTATAAAATTAAACTAGAAAACCCCTAACAAAATAGAGCTAGCCAAATAATTATATCATGAGTGCAGAAGTCAGCGCTCCCTTCTTTCATTCCTAGCATGCTCTCTAGATTTACTGTAAAATCATGATAGAGCCCCTTAGTTATCTACTTTATTTAAACTAATATAATAAGGTTAATACTTTAACTATAATAAGGTTAATACTTTAACTATAGGGGTTTAGAAGTTAATTGACATAAAAAATTCCAAAATTCAGAGTTTTATTGAGAATCATAAACATATGAACTTGAATGGATATGAATTAATTGTGGACTTTCTAATCTATCCCTATTAGAAATCTTCTGGTATTCTGTCCCACTTTTATTAGGCTCTTCACACTGACACTAATATGTTTTAAAATCCCAAGTACATCTCTACACATTCTGAAACAGGTCTGTTTGTTTTTCTCTGCTTATGAAGAGATGGTAATACAGAGACCTCTGTTCATCCTAAGATTTCTCTGCTTGTATCCCTTGGAATTCTGAGAGCCATCCTTCCACTCTGAAGTGAAGCAACATTGGCTTTAAATGTGACAGACAGAAGTCAACACTGAGTGCATGTGTTTATTAATATCCCACTCAATATCTACTGGAAAAAATGCTATCTTGATCCCTAAGAATCAAAAATTTCCTATTGGATTAACAAGTAAAAGCTTACAAAGAGAGTGAGTTAAGAAAAGGTGCTGCTACTTCCAAATGTGGCCAAGAAAAATAAAAAAATGCCATCACCTATCTTTTGGTCTCACTAACAAATGAAGAGAGAATTCTAAGAGATTGCCCAAGGAATGAAACATGCTGGAAAGAAAATAGAAGTGTATTTTAAGTGCAAGGCAATCTACAAAGAAGAACAAAGTCCTTCATGTATCACTTTCTTGACATTGAAGTGTTAAAAACCAAAGTTTTCCTTTTTACATAAGAAATTCATGTCTTATCTGTGTTGAAAAATTGTTTAGAGATCTGGTGAGGATACTAAATTCCTCAGATTTCAGTCTTGCTTGATATATCTTTCACCTCCAGTGAAATTTAACCACAGTGACTTGAGATTTGGAAGAAATGGTGATTCTAATGAGTGACAATGTGGCATCTTCATTCAGACTGGCAGGCTGAAAAAAGTGCTGCTTGCAATCTGCAACCCTGTAATTTTCTGTTTTCTTTGCTAGGGCTAACTAAACTTTCTGCAGTAGCACAATTAACAAATGATATGGCACTGCATATTAAAAATGTTACAGTAATTTCTCTTCTGACCAGATCAGTACAATCAGTAAAACACTTTAAAAGAAAACGTGAATGCTATTAAATATGTGTCCCTGGTATCACAACTGTTCCACTAACTTGGAAGAGCAATGAATTGTCACAGTATTTTTCTGTCTCTTTCTCTCAAACAATTTACTGACACTGCTCTGTAAATGGCTGCTTGCTGCTGCTCCTCCTCTGGGAACCACTTGGAGAGGAGATGCCAGGCAGCTGTTTTCCAGCAGGTCTGACAGCCTGTGCCCACACAAACAGTTTTTTCCACCTTTATGAAGTTGAAACGGAATCCTGCTGTATACTCCAATCTCAAGAAGAAACAAATGTGCCCATTTCCATCTTTCAACCATAATAAAACTGCTCAAATGAGACAGCAACCTCATTCTTACCAGCCTCCAAGCTGGCCTGTGCTTGAAGCTTTTCAATTGGTTCTACACTTTTAGTGGCTTTTGTGTGGCCAACACAGGGATTCAGAAAGTAGAAGTAGGGCTGAGTCAGGAGAGAAGGAATCAGAGCACAGATCACGTTCTGTGCTTTTCACTACCTGATTTGTACCGGCCCAGCCTTCACTGGCAGGGCTCATGAGGGGAATGAGAAGAGCATGGCTTGATTAGTCCAGCAAAATCAAGGCTGTGTGGGGATGAGACTGCTGTCTATAAATACTTTTGGCAGGGGCACACACAGGAGAGCGGGAAAGGCTACTTCAGGACAGCATTTGCACAGGAAGTAAAGATGGACATGGTACTGGTCACAAAGAAAAGCAGGTTTGACATTTTTAAAAGGCTTCCAGCTGTTAGAGAGGTTTCTCTCGGACAGCCTCCCAGTAGCAGCAGTGAGGGCCAAAAAATTTACTGGCAAAGCACAATTAATTTAGGGAAGAAAGGATAAAATGGCTGCTTGCAACACTAGGGAGCTGTGTATAGTATAGGCTGGAGGGGAAATTATGCTGCCTTGGCTTACAAGTGCCAGATTACCATAATGAGGGTGCTCTTAGCCCTCTCTCACCAGCACTGTGGACTTAAAACAAATTTTAATAAAAGACAGTCTTGTCAGTACATTGTAAAATTGAAAGAGTAAAAACAAACACCTTAGTAGTGGAAAGGGGCAATAATGGCTATTTTTCTTGGTCAAAGAGGGCAATGGGAACTACTTGAAGAGTTTATTGTTATCAACAGCAAGGTAGTCCGTATTTCTCTTGATGTTAAAAATGCCAGAATAAATCTGGGTAAAATAACCTTCTACAGATAAGTTTTCTTCTTTATGCCTGTGTCCTTTTCTTCTCAGTGTTGGTTTTGATTACTAGGTGACCAAAGATGTGAACACTTTGCAAAATTTAAATAGTTAGCTCTAATTTTAGTAAATGTCTTTAATGTTGACACTGAAAGATCGATGGTGTTCTTTCTCCTGTTCAGGAAAATTGCCAGCTCATGATCAGGCCTTGCTTAGAAAGATCCACATCTGCAACTGCAAAGCACTTGCAGTTCTCTGGAAAATATTACTTTGGTATAGGAGTGATGAAGTTTTCTGAGAATTTCAGTTGCTAGCCACCTGTCCCAAGGGAAATTCTGAATCTTCTATTGCCTTCTGGAAGAAATAATCACCTCAAAATGGTTACACTCCTGCCTTTCCTTGAGAAACAAACTTCTGGCTATGACCTCATGACTTAGCTATGCACTAGTAATCATATATAGCACCGTTCCTTATCGTGCAGTTGACACCTCCCTGTGCTTTGTCAGCAATGACAGCTTCTCATCAGCTCCTCTACCCCTCCCATCCAGCATGTGGAAAACTTTCCATTGTGGTAAGTAATGCTGGCAGAGCAGGTGATGAACTGAGTTTCTGTGTAAGGAGAGATGCCATTTTTACTCTGCCCTCCTCTCATTTAATTCTGCTTCATTCACTTGCTGCTGGCAGGAGTAATCTGAGGTTGAACACACAAGGTGGGGATTGTCCTTTGCTTCTAGAGGGGGATGTAACCTGCAGGCTGTATAAGATAGGTCAAGGTTGGCCTTACACTCCCTAGAGCTCCCTGAAAGGAAGCTGTAGGTGCAGGCCAGCCTCTTCTCCCAGACTGAGAGGATGAGAGATCAGCTCAAGCTGCACCACATGAGGTTTATGTTGGACATTCGGAAGAATTTCTTTACAGACAGAGTCATTAGACATTGGAATGGACTGCCTGGAGAGGTGGTGGAGTCACAGTTTCTGGAGATGTTTAGGGAAAGAACGGACATGGCACTTAATGCCACGGTCTGTAGTGGACATGGCGCTGTTTGGTCACAGACTCGATTCGACCTCAGAGGCCTTTTCCAGCCCGATTCTGTGATTCTGTGCGACTTCATACAGTTACCTCTGCCTGGCACTCCCATAACACAAGCAACCTTGCAGAGTGACGCTTCTCACAAACGGAATCCTCGGGAGACCGAGACACAGCATGAAAAGGCCTGAATGTTTCTGTGATCTCAAAGTGCTTTGATGAAATCCGAACGCCAAAGCAGCGCCGCGTCTGTCTAAAAATCTCTCTGCCAAGGGCTGAAGGGGCACAGCCTTGCTACGGCATCGTATCCTAAAGATGCAGCAATCCACCTGGTTTGTATGTGAGCGCACAGTATGAGCCCCTGTGTTTCTGTAAGCGATCGGTTTATTTAGCAGCACACCACTGCACGAACCCTCCAACACCTCCCGCTTCCAACATGGACCCGCAGCGCCACAGCGCCGGGGCCGGCCTGGCCCCGCCCTGCCCCGCCCGCCGCACGGCGGGGCAGCACTGACCAATCACGGGGCAGCATCCCGCAGGGGGGCGGGGCCGGACCGTGAATGGCGGCTAGCGAGATAAACAAGTCTCTGCACTGTTCGGCTCCCCACAGCATGGTTTGCGTGTCCACAGTCTATTCCTCTGGTCCTCCCTCCCTCGCTCCCTGCCAACCAGAGGCGCCGCGTCCGGCCGCATTCGTTGCTCCCGCCTGTGCGCGCAATGTGAAGAGTCAGCAAGTTCCCAGCGGCCGCTGAAACGCTCCGGTCTCCGGAGAGGGCAGTGCGCCGACGCCGCCCGGCCGGGGCGACCCGGGGCATGCCGGGAGTTGTAGTTCTGCCGCTACGGCGTCCCGCCTGCGGCGGCGGGGCCGGCTCCCGCAGCCGCACTACGACTCCCGGCACCTCGCGCGCCGCGCCGCGAGGAGCCCAGTTGAAGCGGGTGGCGGCGGCGGAGCGCGCCCCCTCCCCCCCGCCGAAAAGCCCCAAACCAAAACAAAAACAAACCGCCCCCCCCGCCCCGTTCCCCTCGCCCGCCGCCCCCACCGAGCCCCGGACATGGCGGCGCCGGGAGGGGGCTCCGCCAGCTGCGGGTGCTGATCCGGCCGCCGCGTCCCCCTGCCCGCCCGTCCCTCCCCGCCCATGGGCGAGACATGGACTACGAGTTCAAGTCGAAGCTGGCGGCCGAGCGCGAGCGGGTGGAGGACCTGTTCGAGTACGAGGGATGCAAGGTGGGCAGAGGCACCTACGGGCACGTCTACAAGGCCCGCCGCAAGGACGGGTAAGGGCCGCGCCGAGAACCCCCTTCCAACTCCCCCCCTCCCCCCGCACCAGCGCCCTCCCCTCCTTCCCTCCCCTCCTTCCTTCCCCTCCCTCCTCGGAAAGTTTCTGGCAGCGGGGGCCGGAGCGCGGAGCCCGCCCGGGGATCCCCGCCCCGCGCCGGGAGCGGGCCCCGGTGCCCCGGCCCCGCGCATCGCTGTCCGGCTGCTCGGAGCGACGGAACCAGTTAGGGTGGAAAAAGCCTCTGAGATCATCGAGTTCACCCTGTGACCGAACATCACCGTGTTCAACTAGACCGTGGCACTAAGTGCCACTTCCAGTCTTTTCTTAAACACCTCCAGGGACGGGGACTCCACCACCTCCCTGAGCAGCCCTTTCTAATGTCTAATCGCCCTTTATGCAAGCAGTCCTGCCTAATGTTCAGCCTAAAGCTCGTCCCGCTCTGCCCCGCTCCCCCCCGCCATCCCTGGTGGTGCGGTGTTAGCAGGCTGTGCCCTGGGGTCGCCTTTGCTTTGCACGCCGTGTTCCAGGTCGCCGCTTTCGTCTTTTGTGTGACCGCGTTCGTAATTTGACGTTCTGTTCCGATTACTTGCAGGGGATTGAGAAGGGAGGAGTACCTGGCTCCCGACGGCCCCTCCCCGGCTGCTCCCTCCCGAGCAGCTCCCGGGGTGTGCGGTGGTCCCTGGTGTGTCCCAGCCCCAGGCACCCGCTGATGCCAGTGCCGGGCACGCTCGGCTCCATGGCCTGTCCGGGACCCTCCTTGTAGGCAGAGCTGGTGGCTTCTGTCTGGTACCTATGCACAGGCGTGTCTCCATCAGTGTCCCGTGAGAGAGCAGGATATAAGTCACTGTCCCCGAACGCTTGGCTGGTGGCTTGATCCAGAGAGGTCCTTTAGGCGTTAAGCCCATGTATGTTGGCTAAGCAAGGTTTCTTCTCTTCTCTGAGGAAATCCGGTACCATGGAATAGGTATTTATTTCATGGATGCCGTTTTCACGGTATTGTAGTTAAGAGAGCAGTGAGGAGCTGGGATTGCAATTTGGGATTGTTTGGCTGGCATGCAGTTGTTGAAGGGGAGCGGTCCTGAGGCCTGAGGAACGGTCTTGTGCAGGTGTGGGTTCCAAATAGAATCCTTTGCTTTCAGAAGGGCCATTGAGCACTTTTTCACTGTGGTGTGTGCCTGGTGCACAAACACAGGCGGTGTTTGCAGAGTGTTCTAAACATACTGTAAGGTTGGCTAAAATATGCCTGTGAATTGGAGGTGATTCCTTTCTGTAATAGCCTTCTATTATAGCCAACTGAAACTTTGGAAAAGAAGAGACCGAATGTGGAAAAATGACAACTCTTAAATAAATTTTCGGAAGTGGTTAATGACAGGCTGCTGCTTTAGATTAGTAGAGAAGTTTAGGCTGTAGGAATAAATGGCATTCATGTGTGTCTTGAAAATTTGAACTCTGAATTAGGAGGCTGTAGTATAAAAGTGATTAATAACTGAAAGGTAGACACTAATTCCAGTGAAGGATTAAATACCAGGAAATGAGCTCTGATTCTGACTAGCTTGCTCTGCAGCCTTAGGAATACTAGAGCATAGCTAACTTTGAAATATCAAAGCTTTTCCAGGTATCACAGCTGCCACTGAGCTCTTCCAATATTTTTGTGTTAAGTGATCATGGTTGCTTCTTTTTCCTAAGTGTTAATATATATATATATATATATATATATATATAGTAAAACATACATGGGATAGCAAGAAAGCAGTAATAAGGAAAGGAAGTGGTAATAAAACCACCAAAATGCTAGTTAAATGTTTGTTGCTGTTCTTTGATACAGTAAACCTAAAACTGTTGATTGTAAGAACAGCATAAAAAAGGCAGAGCTTTGGGTTTACTGTTTTATGAAAGAAAGAAAGAAAGAAATTTGATGTAAGTAAAAACCAGGCATTTTTAATTTCCATCATCTGCAAAGGAAATCTGTCACAGGAATTACATTGCTGCTACAAAGCCCCATAAAGAACATGTCTTCAAAATCCCTACAATAATATGACAAATGCCAATGGGTAGTAAAGCAAAAGTAAATATGATAACAAGATAGCTAATGTGTCAGAGCTGGGAATAATCAAAGGGAGACCTTGAGCCGTAAGACAAGTAACTGGTAAAAGGAAGTGCAAAGTTTCAGTGCTGTCAGATAGATTGACATGTAATATAACATGGCACAAATTCAACCGTGCTATATGCTCAGAGACTTTACTTCATGAAGCTTAGAAAGTGGCCTGTTTTTTTCTTTTTTTCTTGGTCTGCATTTTATGGCATTGGTAAGTTCACTGTTAGTTGCTTTTATGTAACTTTAGATCCTTGGGTGAAAGGAAGATGTGAACAATTTAGGAAAAAATTACAAAACAACTAAAACCATTAATATGAGATGATTTCCTTATGTAAACACCTAGCTAAAGTATAGCTGCAGGTTGGAGGATATTTAGCATTAGTTATGAACTTTAAGGGGTCCCTAATGAAAGAAATTAGTAAAAGAAATCTAGCAGTGGTGCATATTTATTGTGTGCTGATCACTGGGGGCTTTTGAGCCTCATGTAAAGGAATTCTTCTTTAGGTGACTGCAGAGACTGTTTCAGTATTTTGCAAGGCATTCCTGTGTGAAAGAGAAAGTTTCTGGCTTCTTGCTTCGTATAGTTAATTTACAGTCTCAGGAGTCTGAGAGCAGTAAGAATCTTGTAGCTCTCCAGAAATTCCATTGAGAACTTGTCACTTCATGTTTCAAAAAGTTGGCATATGAATTTTTTGAAATAGTAAAATGTGTTTATATGGAGCTTGGCAAGCTGTTCGATAAAATGCTTGTAGAAAAAGTGGTTTTGTTGCTTAGATCTCTGTGAATGGCTTGTGCATAAAAGCAGTTTCTTGACAAAGTAACAGCTTAGTTTGGCTTTTTCAGCCTAGAGTAGAATAAGATTTGGGCATGTTTCTAGTGAGCTGACTGGTTTCTATGAAAGTTAAAAGAATTTTTTCTTTTTTAAATAGTCAGATTTTAGCAATGTTGGTGTTACATTTGAATGCACTGCATCGTTGTTTTTAGAGATTTTGAGCAGCTGCAGCTTCTATTTAATTCAGTAGTGTTTGTATGGTCTGATGAGGTTTGGAGGTACTACTTGTGTTATATATTTAGCTAAATTAGGCACCTGGGTTTACAGAACTTTCATTAATACCTCTGTGGTCCAGTAGGTGTAGAAAACAAGTATTTATATAAGCTGTCCAGTCCGTTATTTTCATGTACAGTAAAACTGGACCAGTGACTTTGATGGAGGAAATCATGATAAAAGCATCATGATTGCAATTCAGTCACCAATATTAGGTTTTTAGCTCTTTATGTAGCTGGAAAATCTGTTACAGGTTTTTTGTTTGTGTACTGCTTCAAAGCATCATGTTGACTTTTTCTAAGTGTTTTTTTTTTGGCACATTCACATCTGTCTAGTAAGTAAAGAATGCAATTTTTCCAGTCATGGTTAGGAAAATATAGTTTTGTTTCATGCCTTACCTCTCCTCATTACGTTCCTTACGTTCTCTTTGATGGTATTTTAAGCTACGATGTTGTGCTTAGTTGTTTCACTTCTTGTATCCCCTCCTCATATGAAAGGCAAATTTTAGGATGAGTGAGGTTTGGAAATTGTTTGTTGTATATGCCTGAATTATTTTCCTTTACTTTTTCGAAATAATCAATCTTTGAATCCAGGCCACTACAGAGTATTTCTTCACCAGGATGTCAGTCCAGCTGCAGGTGGAGGTTTGCATGAGTCAGCTGAAAAGGCACCACTGCTGGTTAGTCAGGAGCGCAAGGAATAGTGGGATGCTTGAGTCAAGTAGAAAATAGGCCACTCTGTTCTTCACCCTGTAGCAGCAACAGCAGATGCAACACTTGCAAAAGCTGTATCTTCATGTAAATACAACCTTTCTATTTATTGCTGCTTCTGCTTACCTGTAAACAAACACTCGAGGTGGCTGCTTTTTCTCAAACTGGGGCTATTTTAATTTTCATTTGACTCACTCTCTGCATTTGGGAAACAAAGGTTCTCATAAATATTACCTATATAGCTACTCGGAAAGAAAAAATAAGTTTGTAATTTTAGTTTAATCTGTATGTTTTAGAACACCTTTCAAAAAGCAAGTATGCGCTTTTTAATCTTGTTACTGAAGGAATGCCAGAGATATGAAGTGATCAGCTTTCAAATGGGTGGCAGTAAGGGCCAGGATTTGTACCCTGGGCAGCTGCCAGGCTCCCTGCCAGCTCAGGAGCGGGCGCTGCCCTGGCGGACCCTCCTGCCATAAAAGGTTTGGCTCTGTACTTACAATGTATCAGCTAAAACAAGGATGTAGATTTATATGCTGCTGAAGTAGTATACTTTTGTAGCTTGTCAGATTACTTTGTTGTTACTGTACCTGTAACTTTTCAAAAGAGACTCGGTATAAACCAGGTTTCGTCTTAGTCGCCAAATATGGAATTCCCTTTTGAAAACTGGACAACAGCGATGCAAGTCCAGAAACATCACTGTGGAACACAGGCATAGGAAGGGGAAGAAAAATGAAATATTCTTTCCTCCTTCTTACCCCTATTTTTCAGTACTATAAGTTTGTAACTGAAGAGGAGTCTGTTTTCCTCCTTGGACTTACACTGGTGTGCAGAATCATTAATGTAAGGTTCTTAACTCACAGCTTCCAAACCCACATAAGAGTTCAGTGCCCCTTTCCTGGCAGTGTTCAAGGCCAGGTTGGATGGTGCTCTGAGCAACCTGGTCTAAGGAAAGGTTTCCTTGCACAGGGCAGGAGGGTGGAACTAGGTGATATTTAAAATTCCTTCCAACCCAAACCATTGTATGGTTCTATGAAAAGCAGGATATGGGGAGAGAAAAAAGGATGAAGTACCTAGCAAAGGCAAGTATATAACCTTAACATAGGAATGCTGCTTGTGATAGTGGCCATGTCAGCTTTCCTTTGTTTTAG